CTATCATCAACAGACCATACTGTACCCTGGTCAGGCTAACATCAACAGACCATACTGTACCCTGGTCAGGCTAACATCAACAGACCACACTGTAACCTGGTCAGGCCATCATCAACAGACCATACTGTACCCTGGTCAGGCCATCATCAACAGACCATACTGTACCCTGGTCAGGCCATCATCAACAGACCACACTGTACCCTGGTCAGGCCATCATCAACAGACCATACTGTACTCTGGTCAGGCTAACATCAACAGACCATACTGTACCCTGGTCAGGCTAACATCAACAGACCATACTGTACCCTGGTCAGGCCATCATCAACAGACCATACTGTACCCTGGTCAGGCCATCATCAACAGACCATACTGTACCCTGGTCAGGCCATCATGTACATACTGTACCCTGGTCAGGCCATCATCAACAGACCATACTGTACCCTGGTCAGGCCATCATCAACAGACCATACTGTACCCTGGTCAGGCCATCATCAACAGACCATACTGTACCCTGGTCAGGCTAACATCAACAGACCATACTGTACCCTGGTCAGGCCATCATCAACAGACCATACTGTACCCTGGTCAGGCCATCATCAACAGACCACAGTGTACCCTGGTCAGGCCATCATCAACAGACCATATCGTACTCTGGTCAGGCCATCATCAACAGACCATACTGTACCCTGGTCAGGCCATCATCAACAGACCATACTGTATCCTGGTCAGGCCATCATCAACATACCATACTGTACCCTGGTCAGGCCATCATCAACAGTCCATACTGTACCCTGGTCAGGCCATCATCAACAGACCATATTGTACTCTGGTCAAGCCATCATCAACAGTCCATATTGTACCCTGGTCAGGCCATCATCAACAGACCATACTGTACCCTGGTCAGGCCATCATCAACAGACCACACTGTAACCTGGTCAGGCTAACATTAACAGACCATACTGTACCCTGGTCAGGCCATCATCAACAGACCATACTGTACCCTGGTCAGGCCATCATCAACAGACCATACTGTACCCTGGTCAGGCCATCATCAACAGACCATACTGTACCCTGGTCAGGCTAACATCAACAGACCATACTGTCCCCTGGTCAGGCCATCATCAACAGACCATACTGTACCCTGGTCAGGCTATCATCAACATACCATGCTGTACCCTGGGCAGGCCATCATCAACATACCATACTGTACTTTGGTCAGGCTAACATCAACAGACCATATTGTACTCTGGTCAGGCCATCATCAACAGACTATATTCTACCTTGGTCAGGCTATGGGCTTATTACCAGACATGGTCTTATTACCAGATGCGATCTTGTTGCCAGATATGGACTGATTACCTGATGAATAGAGTGATATGGCAGTGATTGAAACTGAACCCACCTCCCCCACCTCCTCTTCCCCAGGAACCTCCATAATACCACCCCCTTCTGTCTTTTATTAGCTATTGTATTTACTTACACAAACCCTGCTAATTCAGGAGACATGGCAGTGCCACTTAATGAGATTCGGTGAGAGACACTAAGACCTTCGTCACTGTTTTCACATCCCACACTGTGTCTAGCTATACCAATTTAGATCTAATTGGATCATCTAAAGCTGTCTTCGATGACTGACTGTAGTGATTACTGGATGTTCAGCACAGAATTACCAGCTAGATGTACAAAAATGAAGCAAATGAGTGCTTGTTTTCACCATACATCAAAATTGCTAGTTGTTGAAAGCACCTTAACCAAGTACTTGAAATATACTTCCCCATGTATTTTGACTTTCAGAAAAAAGCGTGATTTGCACTAATCCTGAGTAAACAGGTTCATACCTGCACTTTTTCAGGTAAAGGTTCAATATCTGAGGACAAACACCATTTATCATTAACAGATGAGGAACAGTGTAAATAAACAAGAGTCTGATCTGGTATTATTGATACCAATTTTTTTTTTTTCAGTAAATGACAAATGATAGTTGGACATGCAATATGCATTAAATGAAATCATGTTCCATCCACATATAGATTAATTCAGACAAAACTTTCACAATAAAATAGATTAAAATTAGTATCAATCAGAGTTTTTCTTGCAATGTCTTTGTTAGATATAGAGGAAAACAATTTTGACATAATGTACTTGGGTAGGATACCCTCAAACTTGATAATAGCACTGTAATTATCTATATCATGGGTACACAGTGTATTTGCAATTGTTTTATGAAAAAGCTTGATTTGAGCTCTGGAAACAAATATAGATACTACAGTGTCAAAATTAGAAGTGAAAAAATAGTGAATTTCTAAATTTCAAATTCAAATTCTGAGCCTTTACCTTAATCCATTTAAAATTCTACACTTTTCTTGAACTATATGTTGCTGTACAGGAAGTGAACATGTATGTACGGTAAATTATTGTGTAAAAGGGAAGTAACTCTGCATCACAATAAAAAGGGCTTTATTGTCATGTATTGTAGGTGACACTAATGATTCAGAAATTAGTAATTACTCTAGAGATCTCACAGTCCCTGTCATTTATCTTTTTCTTCTTCCTCGCATACCTTAATACTGTAATGTCAGGCTTATTTTCGCACTTTCACCAAAAGCTTAAAGCAAAAAGGAAGTGGTTTTAGCAGAAGTCATACAACAGACAGCACTTTTTTAAAATGTAAACTTTATCTTCAGAGTACCTGTCTATTTTTGGAAATTTGGTTTATAGTATTTAATGACCTATTAACAGCTGGGATCATTGAAGGGTGCCCTCCTGGTGTATGTGAGGTGAGTGCCTATGCACTAAACGTGTGTTTTTGAAGGAGGCTGTGTTTGTGTAAGCCTCCATGTGATAGTGCAGAAATGAAGCTGACATTGTAGTGAGAGATAATGAATCCCATAATAAATAACAAATTTTATATCAATATTAATTTCCTCATCAAACAGTCTATTATACTGCCATTGAAACACAAGCATTTGATGATGATGGCCGAGGCAGATCTCTAGTGTATTTGAGTATTACCTGGAACCCTAAAGGTATGGTAGGAAGTACTTTGTATGGTTTTATAATGTCATTTTCAATTATCATTCATAAAAGTAAAATCACCATGGCCATGTTTGGTGTATTTATCTGAGTCTTTAAAAAATCATGAAATTGCACCGGTGTCAAAAATTATATACTTGGGTAGTGAAAAAATATTTTTGATAAACTAATTCCAGATTCATTTCAGAATAATAATATTGATATATTGACTGGGGCATTTTTGCCTCTTAATCCAATCCTTTATAATTGAAAAGTTGACCTTGACAAGTTTATTTATATCTACATAAATGTCAAAAAGAAAGCTTGAAAATCCAGTTTTGATCAGAAGTATTTGCAGAATAAATCCACTGTTTGTCTTTTTTTTTTCTTTTTTTCCCCAAGCCCTATGATGATACATACTGTTAAATCATTGATTTCGTAGGGGCTTTATTTTCATTAATTCATAGTGACTCTTAATCCATGAATTAATATACCCACAAACTGGTAAATTAAGTATAAAGACTTATTGAGCTATAATTATCCACAAAAGCAAGGCTCCATCAAATAATAACTTTTTGAAAAAACACAAAAATTCAATCCCACAAAAATATATGATTTTACAGTACCGACCTTCCCCTTCTCCACCCCCTACCCACCAAAAAAAAAAAAAATAAAAACAACTGAAATTTTTTTGCAAATACTGACAAAACAAATGTATTTTGCAACAGTTTCGATGTAAATACTGGTTTAAAACTTTAACATGTTGATCATATCTTATGTCTCCTTACAGCTGAGATATGTCTCTTTACAGCTGCTTTTGTTAAATTTCACTGATGGTGAGTGATAATATCGCATCATAATTTCATGTGAAAGATAATTTATCTTCCTTGTATTTAGTGTATCATTCAACTTTCTGAAAATGATCAAAGCTAAGATTTTATAGTGTTAAAGTGAAAAATGATGAAATTCATACATAAAGTACCATGATGATAGCCTCAATTTAAGCTGTTACAGATTATATTATGCAATAAATTGAATGAAACTGGACAAGCAAAAGCTATGAAATGAATAGTGCTTCTTTAAGAAGTCAAGAATTAAATAGGGTAAAACTTTAACAATACACCACTTTAAAATATGTTTTACTTACCTGATAAACTGAATGGGAACTGTTTTTCTAGGTAATACTTTATCATTAAATCAAAAGGAAATTCATTCTCTATGATGCAAATGTTGTAATTTTTGAGGGAATGTATTTTGCACCATTTCCAAGGATAAATTTAAGAATTGTGAACCAGATCACCCAAAAAAGAAATTGATACAGAATTCCATTGCCTATTTCAAGACTTTAGTGAAAAATACAGGTTTTTGGCTTTAAGCTTTTGATTAAACCACAAAACATTTTAACCATCAAAAGTAGTAACAATCACACTGTATGTCAATATTCCTTCAACTTATTAAACTATTGCTTGTTACATATGTTGCAACTGTGAATTTGTAGCTGAGAATGAGTTTCTATTTACAATAATAAAAAAAAAAAAACACTCAACAATAAATGCCAAAAATAATAAATCAAACAACACATAGAAATCAAATTAAAAAAAAAAGAAAGTAGATCTTATTTATCATCGATAAAATTAATTTACCAGATACCTATTATGGGAACTCTTTTGGAAGGAGTCACAGATTACATATGCTATCATATCCCCCTAAGTATTTTTCTTTCAAGTAATTAGTCTGAGTTTCATATCCTCCCCTGAACCATCTTCAGGCGGGATTAATAACTAGACAGAAAAAAGGTTAAACAGGACTGTGAAAATAGCTCTGCTAAATGACACTAATTCAGATGATGAATGTTTCAGATGGTGAATAAAGCTGATAAATCTGTAATGATATTTGATCCGGAAACATACAAAAATCCAAGAATTAGCACTTGTATAAAATATTGCCTATGTCAATAAGATCTCCCGGTAAATTCTATATTTTCTTACCTTTTTCAGATTTAGTAGACGATTCCTCTGGAGCAACGGTTTTAGAAGATGTACACCCCATCCTTCACTCTGGGGGTAGAAAGTAGATACACTTTTCTTCTATGGTAACATCCATTATCACCGTGATTATCTCTCGTCCTGAAGCACGAGGATGAATGCTTCAGCACTGCTGACTCCTACAAAGACTCGGTGACTGTAGTCAGCTACAGCCTTCCACAGTCATTCTCATTCTGCCACTCTAACAAAAGCATACAGCTGTCAATGACAGCACACCTGAAATATAATAAGAGCCAAAGATCTGAAATAGTGTACTTATCAATGTATCAGTGTATCTATATCTGTACCAGAGTGTCTATACCTGTATCAGAGTGTCTATACCTGTATCAGAGTGTCTATACCTGTATCAGTGTATCTGTATCAGTATATCTGAATCTGTATCAGTGTATCTATATCTGTATCAGTGTATCAGTATTAGTGTATCTGTATCAGTATCAGTGTATCTATATCTGTATCAGTGTATCTATATCTGTTTCATTGTATCTGTATCAGTGTATCTATATCTGTATCAGTGTATCTATATCTGTATCAGAGTGTCTATACCTGTATCAGAGTGTCTATACCTGTATCAGTGTATCTGTATCAGTATATCTGAATCTGTATCAGTGTATCTATATCTGTATCAGTGTATCAGTATCAGTGTATCTGTATCAGTATCAGTGTATCTATATCTGTATCAGTGTATCTATATCTGTATCATTGTATCTGTATCAGTGTATCTATATCTGTATCAGTGTATCTATATCTGTATCTATATCTGTATCAGTGTATCTGTATCAGTGTATCTATATCTGTATCAGTGTATCTATATCTGTATCAGAGTGTCTATACCTGTATCAGAGTGTCTATACCTGTATCAGTGTATCTGTATCAGTATATCTGAATCTGTATCAGTGTATCTATATCTGTATCAGTGTATCTATATCTGTATCTATATCTGTATCAGTGTATCTGTATCAGTGTATCTATATCTGTATCAGTGTATCTATATCTGTATCAGAGTGTCTATACCTGTATCAGAGTGTCTATACCTGTATCAGTGTATCTATATCTGTATCAGTGTATCAGTATCAGTATATCTGTATCAGTATCAGTGTATCTATATCTGTATCAGTGTATCTATATCTGTATCATTGTATCTGTATCAGTGTATCTATATCTGTATCAGTGTATCTATATCTGTATCTATATCTGTATCAGTGTATCTGTATCAGTGTATCTATATCTGTATCATTGTATCTATATCTGTATCATTGTATCTGTATCAGTGTATCTATATCTGTATCAGTGTATCTATATCTGTATCAGTGTATCTGTATCTGTATCAGTGTATCTATATCTGTATCTATATCTGTATCTATATCTGTATCAGTGTATCTATATCTGTATCAGTTTGTCTATATCTGTATTTAGTTTTTTCTGACAATTTTTCAGGACAGAACTGATATCATTGTAAATTTTGGATCCAGAGTATATTTTCCATATTAATAGTGATAGCACCGTTAACAACTGAGGCTGGAGGTCTGTTCTGTGAAATACTTGAATATTGAGATATGCTTGTTACCTTCATCACATGATATTTATATCCTTCTTACCTGGGTCAATCTACACCTGGTCAGTTGTTATGTAAATCATGTGACCCATCCTTACATGTACACGTACAGTTTATTACAATCCATGCCTTATCAATAGTACCTGATATTATAGATAGTTTACTAATTACCACAGCAATCAATGAATTGATAATGTACTAGGAAGCATCAGTAAATATCACACCAGGTATGTGGTGATGAAGGCCTTATTAGTGATATGACAATTAAAGGAAAGCGACAAATAACACACCATGGGAAGGGTTACTACATGAAATGGTGAGCTACAATGTCATCACACCATGGGAAGGATGACTACATGATATGGTGAGCTACAATGTCATCACAATATAGGGAAGGATGACAACATGATATGGTGAGCTACAATGTCATCACACTATAGGAAGGGTGACTACATGATATGGTGAGCTACAATGTCATCACACTATAGGAAGGTTGAATACATGATATGGTGAGCTACAATGTCATCACGCTATAGGAAGGGTGACTTCATGATATGGTGAGCTTCAATGTCATCACACTATAGGAAGGGTGACTTCATGATATGGTGAGCTTCAATGTCATCACACTATAGGAAGGGTGACTACATGATATGGTGAGCTACAATGTCATCACACTATAGGAAGGGTGACTACATGATATGGTAAACTACAATGTCATCACACCATTGGGGAAGTGACTACATGATATAGTGAGCTACAATGTCATCACATTATAGAGGAGGTGACTTCGTGATATGGTGAGCTACAATGTCATCACACTATAGGGGAGGTGACTACATGATATGGTGAGCTTCAATGTCATCACACTATAGGAAGGGTGACTACATGATATGGTGAGTTACAATGTCATCACACTATAGAAAAGTTGACTACATGATATGGTGAGCTACAATGTCATCACACTATAGGGGAGGTGACTACATGATATGGTGAGCTACAATGTCATCACACCATGGGAAGGATAACTATATGATATGGTGAGTTACAATGTCATCACACCATGGGAAGGATGACTACATGATATGGTGAGCTACGATGTCATCACACTATAGAAATGGTGACTAAATGATATAGCGGGTATAAAATGCTGTTATATAATCACTCCTGAAAAGGGTGAGTATTGCCTTAATTTTAGGAAAATGTCACATCAGTAATGTTATTTGTATCTCTTTTTCTATTTCAAAAAATAATTCTAAAATTCGTTACTTAACTGTTGATTTAACTGTTAACTTTTTTGATCAGCTTCATGGTTTTGAAGTTCTGTACATTTCTTTTATAGTGAATTATGATGGAAATCATAACTTTCACTACACAAGATTGAAAGACATTGACCTTTAACTTTGACCTTAATTGGCCTTTGACCTTTCAAATTTCAGCCTCCACCTGTCGCATGCTCTCCAGAGCAATCAGTATACGGTGTCTTGCCCAAGGACACAACCATGTCAGTACAGCTGAGTCCAATTCACAACTTCATGGGTAGTGAGCATTGAGCAATGTACTTTGGGTCTTCACCTAAAGTTACACAGGTCAGTACTCTCCACCAAATGAGTCACTGCTGCCTTTTGAAGATAATGGAGACGAAAAATTGAAAGAAATGTATTGGAATGGTCAATTCTATAAATTAAATATTTTAGACATAATATAAAATGCAATATTAAAATTTCAAAAGTTGCTTCAATTTTGAAAATGAATATTGGTTGCCATAGAAACAATTGAATAATGAATTATACATCCTCACTGAAGCTGTTTGTAACCAATTTATCACAGTAGCTGTTCAGTGAGGTGTTAACTTCCATGAGAATATTACAATGGAGCTGTTTATCCCGGAAGTTTTAAAATGGTGTGCTTAGGGACATTGATCGGAAGTCCGCCTGTTACCAGCGACGAGAATGTGGAGGCTTCAGAATGTCATGAACTCTAACACTTGAAGAGGGCTAATGACTTAACCGTGCAGTACAATGCTACCAATTATAGCCAACTAATCTAGATTGTACTGAACTTTAAAACAAAAAAATGTCACGGAGATCGTGATTTTGATACATAGAATCCAATCTAGAATAACACAAGATGTATTTGTCGTTAAAGACATAGTCGTCACTAGTGGAGACGGATTCAGGAACAAGGGGTTATTTTAACTGTATTTCCTCTCAAATCTATATATACATTTTCCATTTGATTTAATCTAAGAGAATAGTGGTCTAATTTGAGAATATGGTGAGGTTATTTACTGCAACATCTATTCAGAAACAAACATTTTTACAGCCCTTAATTAATCTTTATCATATGTACTTTAAAATTTTAAATCTGAATTTCACTATGCTAGATTACAGAAATATTGTCAGACTTTTAGAAAAATGTTACATTTTTCTGTAAATCTAATCCCTCTGACAAGAAATAGTAACTAATATATTTTCTAATTTTCAATCTTCAAACAAGACACAATATATCATTACTCTTTGTTTTAAGGTACAAAAATATTTACAGAAAATTTTTTATTTTTTTTTTCTGCATATTTTATCCCTTTGACCTTGGAAGTTGTTCAACTGAATAAGTTTGAAATGTGCCACATTAAAAAATGATGTTCAAAAATGAGCTTGAGAAAAGAGAATTCATAAATCTATTTCTGATCAACTTGTTGAAATAAACAAATTTTGAAAGATGAGCAAGTTAATTTTTTCAAAATTCTGGCAATTTAAAAGAGCAATACTGAATATTGACTACAAACTTTGAGCTGATAACCAAGTGCCTTCGTCTTAATTATTTTGGACTTTGGGATATTTTCCTTGATTTCTCATGAAAAAGTGTTTAATGAAAACTGATAGGGAGATGACATGGGGATAATTGAGCAGGGAATGTAACATACGACTCATATGTTTGTGACCCTTCAGCCCCGGTCAGATAAAAGTCAATAATTAGAGTCAGAGATACAGAACTGGACAGCAGATGGACTTGGTCATCCACTGAAGTTCAATGTACTGATCTAATGACACTTGTTAGCCTTCAAGTATCTCATGTATTTTCCTCTAGGATATCCAAAATGGACACTCCTTAATTGCCACATACAATGACCCTTTCCAGGTTTGTAACTGAGTGGCGCCAATTATCCGCTTCCTAGGGACGTCATGTAGAGACAAAAGATTACCATTTTATAACAATCATCTAAAGTGGTCCCCTGATACATCCTGCTTCTACCTCCATTGTGCTGAAAATGTACTGAGATCCATGTTGAATATGGATGTAGTCTGATTTATGAGAAAGCTTGAGAAAATCTCTCTCTGAATGTGTGGCATTACAAACATTGTTAAGAATATGATGAATAGTGTAAATGCAGTGTGTCAAATTGGTCATACAATGGATGCTTTTGTGAGGTTATGCTAAATGAAACGAGAGCAGATTCTGAATCATTGGACATTCT